CCCCTCTTTTCCTTAAAATTCTCATCGCCTTGTGGTACATGTACATGATTACGAGAGTACATGTAAGTTCCTGCAACACTTTTCAATAGTTACTCAAACCTGAACTATAGGCCTAAATGTTGATGCGTGCTCACATACATGTTAATCCAGAGACAAGTTTTTATAATGAAAGACCAACAATGGTCAACAGGAGTCGTTTACATGTAGACATTCACATGCAGATATCCAATACTCAAACATCAATGGCACAAGTGAAAATGTATAGGGAAAACCCCTCACACATGGATTGGGGAATGATACGCATACTGTACATGGACATGTACCACTACATGTATGTACATGTACCAGTATTTAATATTAAAAGACATTACATGTACATGTAAGCATTTCAAGTCATACATGTACATGTATGCCTACCCTCTATATACATGTAGTGGTAAAACCATAGTGCACTGTGCTTTCAACCTTGGCTCTCCCTATGAAATACATGTGTCAGTGACCAAAGGAGCCTGCCCAATAGAATTCTGTCCAACTACGGAAGAGTGACTCTCTCATAAATTGCAGTTCTGCCAACACACTGCACATCATGGATATAATATCCAATGAAATTAAACCTACATGTATCCCCAAACCAGAAAGGTACATGTACTTATACCCAACAGTGAATACATATTGACAGCAAACATGGTTGTCTGAACAGCAAACAAATTGATCGAACATAAATCCCCTGTATTGGTATTAGCCCTAACCCTCCTCAATCCTCCACAATCCTTTGGCTGGTTTTGGAGGATTTTGGAGGATTGAGGGTGAATGGCAGAAGTGCATGGCTTATGGCGAAGGATGCCATGCATGAAGGTCGTGGGTTAAACCTTGTGTTGTTTTTGCTTAGTCCTGCATAAATTCAACCCGGTACAGTTTTTTTTTAATCGACCGCACTGCTCAAGAATGCCATTCGTACTGACTCAACATAATGACAGGAATTGCCGGAGGATTTGGAAGGATTGAGGCAGTAGGCACACCTCCGAGTAACATTTTCAAGAAATTTTGGAGGATTCTGGAGGATTGAGGAGGGTCTAGCAAAACGGGCCGAGGGGTTAGGGTTAGTAGCTGACCCAATGTGTACTGAATTTTTAAATGCTTTTTTCATGAGGCTATTACACAACACAGAAACTGTGTAACATCTCACCTATGGCAGGGATTTCACTATGATATTGCCTTACCTGAATCACCACTTGGTCCTGCAGTTGCTTTTTCCTCCACTGTTGCTCCAGATTTTGCTCCTTTGATCTTGGTCTTCGAGGGAGAACTCTGGGCCCCACTGCCATCTTTCTTGGGAGGCGGCGGTGCAGCTTGAGAATCAGTTGCTTTCTGGGCAACTATTGGTGCTTCTTTCTTCTGGAGCTTCTCCTCAACAGGCTTCGGTTTCTGGGAGGACTTCTGACTGGACTTCTGGTTAGGCTTAGGAGAGGTTTCCGTCTTGGCTGGAGGAGGGGCTGCTTTAGTGGATGCAGTGGCAGCTTTCTCAATGGGAGCTTCTTTCACCTGGGTCTCCTTGAGGGCCTTTTTGGATGGAGCTTCTCTGGATGATACTTCTTTGGTAGCCTCTTTTACCTTTGGCTGCTGTTGCTGCTTTTGCTTGGGCTGTTGCTGCTGCTGCTGCTGCTGTTCCAGCTGTGGTTTGGTTTGCTTTGCCTGCTTAGGAGACTTGGTCTTGGGCTGAGGAGCAGGAGGTGGAGCGGCAGCCTGTTGTTGCTCAACTGCTGGTTTGATTTTCTCCTCAACCGGCGGTGATGGAGGTGATGGAGGAGATGGGGGTGGAGTAGACTGGTCGATGTCATTAGCCTTCTCTTTCTTCTTACGAGGGAAAGCTTGACGACGTTTCTGCCGCTGGTCTCGTTGTAGTTGCTGCTCTTTGTCCAGACGGGCTCTCTGCTCAGCTATGGCTTCCTCATATGTCTTCTCCTTCATGGTGAAGATAGAGATGATATAGACCAAGGCAGATAGGCCAATGAAACTGGCAAATACAACCAGAGCCAAGACCTGGGGCTCGTACAAATCAACAGCAATCATGGTTGATCTGGATTTGAACCTGTCATAATCAATAAAGATCAAAAAGCAAAAGATTAGCTTTCTCCATAGAGATGTACAGTTCATGTATTTCCCGTGCTACTAGGGTGGGGCACCTTGGAAAACAGATTTTCAAATTGAATAGATAATTTTCTGGGACTGAGCTCATTATTAGCTTTCAGGTGAAATATTGCTTGAAAAACATGGTACATGAAAAGTAATCAAATAATTACTTTTAATGTTTTAATTAGAAACACGTCACTCCAAATTGAAAAAGAAAGCAGAACGGTCACATGGGTGTTAGAGTGCATGTTTATGACAGTGGTTGATAACTAATAATCTCAACATAACACACTATGACGGAGTGAAAGCAACATATATACAGTGATGAAAAATAACCAGTCGTTGTGGGACTGCACGCGCAGTCCCTGAAGTCCTGCTGTGGCGCAACATCAAAGGATGGCAAAACAATTTGAAACTGACCATGGATTCAAACCTGAACCCTTGTTTCAGCTACATGTATGCTATCACTGGGCTATGGAAAGTGAATTTAATATTTAAATGGTATCTTTTCAGGGGAAGAGTTCTATGTACAGACACTAGTAATTATTCCCGAAAGTGACCTACTGGCCATCAGAAAGCAAAAACATGTCCAGAAAAGTTCAATTTAGGAGGGAAAAAACCAATACACATACACAGAAAACACTTTGAAATTTTCAGACCAGTCTCATATGATTTGTGCACAGGGTGCTGAGTGGCGTCCGTATGTGGAACTCTTTCCCAGTTCAGAGCCCCCATATAAAAAATATAATATACTATGGCTATAGTTATAACATTGATTGATGTCTACTTTTATTGCACCAATCTGTATGATTAGAAACAGGAATCAGATTCGATTTTATCTGTAATTAGGGGCTCTCGCGTCTCGGGCATCATTTTTAAAAAAAGAAAAGAAAAACATTTATAAAAAAAAATTTCATTGAAAAACTTAAGAAAAAAAATCCCAACTGAAGCAGGGCTCAACCCTGCAGTATTTAATGAGATAAGGCAGCACCTTGACGGCCAGGTTACAAAAGTGTAACAGGTCTAGGCCTATTAATAAAAAAAAGACGAGACAATATTCAGCAAAATGAACCGAGCTGAGGTGCACTCCCTAGAAGATCATGTCCCCACCTAATCATGTACTCTGTACATTATCATTATGTCATTGACCTACACGTTTTCCAAGTCACAGCCTACTGACCATGGGGTTGTGTTAATCCATGTGTACATGTACATACATGTACGCCGTCGTAGGCTAAAATGATTCCACCTCCATGATCAGATTATGTAGGCCTGCATGTACATGAAGACGGCAAGGACGCATCCACTCGATATGGTCAAGCAAATGCCTTTCGGGGTGCGTTACAAACTTCACGCATATGGTTTGGCTTAACTGAACGTTACATTAATAAAAAGTAAAAATAAGTTTTGAGCTGCTAGCTGTGGGTTGTCTAACGTTAGGCCAGGCTAAGTATGCAATTGTTTTGGTCATTTGTACTTGAAACCCTTCAATCAATGACCACTTTTGCCCCATTCAGTAATTGAACCTAATTCTTTAAAAAAATAACATTTTTTAAAACTTCTAGCTCAGCTTACCTCTGCAATTAGAGACTGAGGTGATTTTGACGATCTTCCACAGACCGGATTACGGCGACCCAACGATGAAAAGAACTCATTCACTTACACGTACACGCCTACAGTCCTGTTAATACACATACAGTTAGCAAGAACCGCGTATTCTAATTGGTCACTTTGTGCCAATATGGCGCCTTATGCTCTTACTTTAAATCAACTTACAACTTTGTGCACTTAATGTACTTGAAAATAAAATCAATTCTTTATTTCTTTTAAAAGATACTATATCTTAAAATAACCAAAAATACTATTTTGTGGTGAAAATACCATGGAAGTAATATTTAAATCAATTTAAGATAAATTGTTTGTATATAAACACCCAAATTAGGGGAGTACAAATAGTGAACTGCACAGCCAAATGCCAACTTGGCATTTAATCTTGGCGTGCGTAATTTCTTATCTTCCGAGTTAAGTATTAGGCAGGCAGGATACCAGATCATCACACGTTATATCCTTATGTTGAAGTCTCTGAGCACAGAAAGCACCATACCATAGTAAAGCACGTCCTTTTCTCTTGTAAATGTACATCATGTACGTACGTACGGCCGGATGTGAAGGTATTACAATGTACGATACATGTACATGTAACGTTTCATGCTATTTAATGCAGTGGGCGACACGTGGAGGTTGTAAGTTGAGCTGTTCCTCCACTTGAAGATAAGGTCAAACCACAGAGCAAGGAAACAAAACGTGGGAGCACGGTGGACGACGGACCCCACAGTTCTGAGGCCCCTCTCAATCGAAATCCGTCGTTGAGCCTTAATTGACATTTGGACCTATCAATCAGTATTTACACGCACTGATGACCGCACATGCCGTATGCAAGGGTACTAGTATGTGACCCGCTCTGTCAATGTCTGCAAATGAGGCGCAAGTCATCGGAGCCCCTTTGAAGTTGTACTTAAATTTTAGCTTTTTGTTTTGATGTGTCGCTCCGTTTAGTGTGAAGAAAAGGGACGTTGTGTTGATGTTAAATAAAATCTTGATGATTGCTATTGGTAGTATTGCTGAAACCATGGTGGAAAATATATTTTATTCCTCCATAACAGTATTAGTTTACAGGCCTTAGTGGCTCTGGTGATGTGATTCATTTTCACAGAGCGGGTCATATATGTAGAGCAAGGGGAACATTGTTTTCCTTTGACCATGAATAAAAGAGGGGGGTGAGTGCTTTTTCCTGCAAGCAGCTGTGTTGTGTAAAAAGCCCTGACATGCAGCCCTTACCCTCGTGCAGGCTATAAAACTAGGTTACATGGACAAAATCCTTAATTCCCCCCCCCCCAGTTCCCCTTTGTCACTAATGTGACATACACGTAATGATTAAGTTCATGGTGCATCATGTCCGGACAAGCCTGGGTGTGGGTGGGATTGGGATTGGAGTCACCTGGCAAGGTTTCCACTGGACGATAAAGGGGCCTCTGCTAATTTCAGGGGCCTTTTACATGGAAAGTACCTGTTAGGAACAGGTATGAGGATAGATTCATGACACCCAATAATTGTCACTGTCCAACTGGTACACCCCTTATTATGGAAAGGACTTGTATACACCTCTTAGTTGTTCCACTCCATTGTTAAACTTGTGTATCGGTCCAAGTGAACCTTTGTAAGTTGGCTGGCCTTCATATCTTACATTGACACTTTTTTGGAAAATTTTGAAGGAAATAGAAAATGTAAAATTCATACTTATTGGCTTGTAGAGGTACATCCTCAGTGGTGGCAAAATGATTTTCAAAGTGGGGGGGCCAGTTGTAAGACCATCAGGTGTCATCCACAAATCAATAAGCCTTGCACAATTATGGACCCTGCCAAAAGTGGGGGGGGGGAACTTTCCCTGGTTGAAAAGTGACGCGTTGCGTCACCCCTACCCTCCCTTCGACCGCCAGCGTACATCCAAAAAGTTAGGATTGCATAAGCCTGAAACTCAAAATATTCATCGATGGATTTTAATCACATTTACAGTAAAACCGGGAGCAATTTGTTAAATTGGTTTCATTCATGATATGGCTATAATGGCCAATTTTTAGGGCCCTAAAAAGAAGGCAGTTGTTCCGATTTGTAATCATTACCTAAAATTGTGAGATATATTAAGAATCTCATGTTTATCTTTTTTCCAGAACAACCCATGTGGAGCCTAACTTCTTGATGAATGCTTGCTAATGATGTCACAAGATTCAGAGAAAAATGGCAGCAAGCAGGTTGTCAGTTCTCTTGATCAGCTTGAAGCAATTAAAGTCATCTTACTTGATATTGAGGGAACAACCACACCCATAACCTTTGTTAAGGTAATGCAAAGAATGAAATGTATACATGCACAAATGTACATGTATATACAGCCATCAAGGTGCTAGGATATCCAGGATGTTGTGAAGTGTTCTGCCTAGTTAAGGACTGCTTGTACACGACCAGTAACTGTCCAATTTGATAAGACTATTAACTGCTGCTGGTGAGTTTATGATACAGGTAGTTCGCAATTTGGTTTTTACTGCTTTTGTTTCAGCCCATAGTTGAACTGGATTTGATGAATAGTTGTTTTAGTCAGAAATCGGTCATTTCTTTTTAGTTTTTCAATGTACCTGTATGCAATAGGATTCTGGCAGGCTAGTTGTTAATCACTTCTCTGACTTTGTTTCCTGTCAGGATGTTCTGTTCCCCTATGTCAGAGAGAAAGTAGAGGAATACCTTGACAGCCATTGGGATGAGCAAGAATGTCAAGATGATATCAAGGAACTGAGGGACCAGGTAGTTTTTTCAGATAGGAAAAGCAACTGAACTTCTCAAACTTTCTCTTTCCTATTTCTTCAGGAAAAGTTCTGTCTATAATCATACAATTAGGAGCAATAACATCCCAGACCAGTCACTAATGTGATATTTGCTTTGTTATTGAGTAGTTTTAATCCTCGGAATACAATGTAACATTCAGGTGCAATATTAAGAGACACCCACAAGATCAAAATTTTGTTACAGTTTGAAATGTAATAAGTCACATAATGTCCAGTTGCATGCTGGTGTTCAGCAAAGGCTGTTTACTGTTATTATTTCTCTCCCAAAGGCTATTCTTGACAAGGATCTTGAAGGAGTTGTCACCATCCCTGAGGAGGTTGAAGATGGTACCTCTTCATCAACGTTAGTCAAGCAGGCAGTGGTCCAGAGCATTCATTGGTTGATGGCAGCCGACAGAAAGGTGACAGCCCTTAAACAGTTCCAAGGTCACATGTGGAGGTCTGGATACAAGGAAAAGAAACTTGTTGGAGAGTAAGTACATGCACCTTCAGTCTCTGTTACTGCCTGTGTCCAATGATTGATGCCTCTTTCATGGTCTCTGGCATTGTCAAAACATAGCCTTTGGCGGAAGACCATAGCTAAGCCTAATTCACCATGTGCAGATCTATTCAATCCTTTCATGAGCTCCATTGGTTTGTACCTATTTTCAGAGAAGGGTAATGTGAGAAAATCTTTAAACAAATTGCCGTCAGCAGCAGCAGTTTTTTAAAGAAAAAGGTTTAGCCACATTCCATTCCAGAAAAGGTTTGATAACGAATCATTCTCATATCTCACTTATAAAAGTATTATTTAAATCAATCTGTCCACTGCCCAAAAAGAAATAAAAAAAATTTAGAAAGCCTCTGCTTTGCCCTAGATCTGAAAAGTCAATTTTAAGTTTTTGTTTGTCAGAATTTACAGTGATGTGCTGCCTGCCATCAAACAATGGTTAAGAAAAAGCAAGAAGGTGTACATCTACTCATCAGGGAGTGTGGAGGCACAGAAATTACTCTTTGGCCACACCAAGTATGGCAGCCTCTTAGAGGTAGGTGAGGACCAGAGCAGGTGAGCACCATAATGGTCGATGCCATTATGGTGGTTACAGAGTACTGAAACATGATGTGATTTAAACGAGGAAGTATAGTACAAATGAATGGAGTACACACTCGTATGTTGCTTCACAGGCTGATTCTCAGACTAATTCCTTTGTACACATAATTGCGCACGTGACTTATTTCAATAAGCTATGGCTTTATTCCTTTCTGATGTGAGAGGAGACTCGGTTTGCTTCTTTTTCTCACCACATTTATGCATTGAAGCGGATGTGGAGCCGAGATGCTTGCAGTTTCCAATTTGTTGAATCTTTTTGGAAATTGCTGTCTCAGGATCTGTTTTCCTCGTTATGAGTTGCATTCTACAATTCTTGTTAATGAGCAGCCTTTAGTTTGCAGTTTTGCTCAGAAAACATAATCAACCGTGCTATATAAAAACCAACCACATGTGTGACCCTTTTTGATTTTTAAGCTATTTTCTGGACATTTTGATACCAAGACTGGATTGAAAGTGGAGAAAGAGAGTTACTTGAAAATAGCAGCTGAGATTGGATGCGATCCACATGAGATTCTGTTTCTCACTGATGTCACAAGAGGTATACAGTTGATTTTTTTTTAAACTATTGCAGTTTTATGATGTGGGTCGAGCACAAAAATATATCGACTCAGTGCAGAGTGATAGCAAAATGGTACCAGTGAATGTTTTACATGGAATCAGTAAACATTTAAACTTGTTTGAAAAACAGCATGACTTGAAAATTGAGCGTGTTCAGTATCGTTTTAATAGTATGCATACAGCTCAGCAATGTTGTTAATTGTATGGCACGTCCTCATAAACTCTTAGCTTTCGTCTCTTGTCAAGTGACAAACTTTTCAAGTGAAGTGACATCGATATTCTTTAGTCTTTTTTCTCCTTTCACTGGTATTACCCAGGCTTGTGACTGACTCATCGTGGACTCAACCACAAAAGATGTGCATCTGTTACCAGTTGACACTTTCACTCATAATGTGGATGAAATAGATTCTAAACATTTCTCCAAAAATGTGAAAAAATTGACCTATAGATGTGATCGAAAGTTAGATACACTTGAAATGTTTCGTTACATTTTTAAGACTGCACCCTTGTTAGGCAACCAGTCTTTTTGTTACATGTATAACTGATCAGCCAGCTCATCCACTTTATTTACGTGAACCTGAAACTAAAGTGTTAAACCACAGTAGATGTGCTCATTGATCAGCTATGGAAGGGGGAATGACTGCAGTTAATGTCTGACACAATCAAAGTGTATGTAAACTTTGTACCCAACTTATCTTTTCCCAGCAGTGCATGGCACTGATGCTATCTAGTTGACTTCAAATTGGCTTTCTGTGTAATTTTCCATTGTTAGAGGCACTGCCGGCAAGTCAAGCAGGGTACAAGACCACCATTGTTGTACGCAAAGGAAACGCACCATTGACAGAAGATGAAACCAAATCATTCCATCAAATCAAATCATTTAGCGAACTACTGGACAATGAGTAGCCACCAACAAAAGTACAGAAGTGATGAGATGTGGATTATATTAGATAAGAACTGTGGAAAAAACTTGTACAAGGAGTTTTCCATTTGTGTCATTTCTGGAAAATAAAAGACGCATGTATGTATTAGGTATTTGATGGGATATTTAGACATACACATCCTGTTGCTAAAAGGGAACCATATCTGGTACTGGAATCCTGTATACGTGTATGTTTTAACCTTAAGATGGATGAATACGTGTACTTGTATATAATTGATAAAAGATGTATTTCCTTGAGTTTCTATATTTCCTGAGGTATCCCAATGTCCACAGAGCCATGGTTTTTCATGCCTTGTATTTGTAAAACATTTTGTCTCCTGTTTCTTCTGTGTACAAGGCAGTTTTACGTGGATGCAAGAACTGTGATACGCTGTTTCACAGAAATCAACACTCTACTTTATTGGATAGATCTTGCTTAAAGAGAAAAGATGCACCAACTTTAGAGTAAATGGTTCCATTTGTCAGGACTTACAGGATCAGCTTGCTGGTGAGTAGACTGAGAACTCTTCCGAAGTGGAGTGCATCGCAGTTAAGCGAATCATCTACTTGCAGTAGACTTACTTGCTTCTGATTGGTTCAATTCAACCCAAATGCCTTGTCTATGGTGTCCCAGTTTTCAGAGGTTTCATGTGAAGTCAAGGGATTTTAATGACAGGGTGCAGACTAGTCTGCTACAGGCTGTATGAAATGTCAAGTGTATTATCTTCAGTTGTATTTACAACACACACACTTGGATTTCAGATCCAACAAACCTGTGTTGATATTGATATAGCCTGGGTTATGCCAGTCATGAAACATGAAGATATGATGCATTACTCTGTAGGTATAAAGCCTTGAAAGGTTTAAAAAGCAATGGAACATTTTCTCTGTGATTCATGATGATTCCAGTATAACTGCTGATCATTTTCCTCATTGTGTTTTTTTATGTGTAATGCTGGGAATCAGGTTTGACTCGGACAATCAGGAAACTCACAAAGCAGAGTCAGGTTTTTATTAGTAGATACAGACCCAATGGTTTATTGTACTACAATCCAAGTGATTCATACACAAATATGAGATAATAGTGACACCGCAAATAAACCAACTAGTTCTTGAAATTACTGACTCCATTCTGTATACAAAATTAGTAGTTTCTTCATTGTTTTGAACGAATCAACTGTGAGTGAAACAAAATCAAGCTCCTTCTCATCCTTGCGTATACATGATAGTAATCTTACTGCAGTGACCGTCACACCCAACACACACATCTGTACAAATGTCAACTTTTTAAAATACTATTACCAAATCTCTGTGTTCATAATCAGATGCGAAAAAAGCTTAACAATAAAATGCTAGAATTGGTTACAGAGCTGCCAGGGAGGGTTTTTTTTTTTTGTTTAATGTGACATATACACTGCTGCTATTTGGGAAGGAGAAAAGGCAGACGCTTGGAAAACCACTACCAAATTAAGAAAGTGAACACGTTTTGCTTAAAAATGAAACTTTGATAGAACAGCTCTGAAAACATGACAATGGAGTCAATGTGAATTTTGGCCGTACTCGGTTACTCAATCGTCAAATATGGAGTGAACAACTATTCTATTGTATGCAATTGTTAAATACTCAACAAATCTGAAGTGAGGCAGTGCAGTGTCATTACTTCAAAACAAATCAAAGGATACAAACAGGGTATCAATCACTGGACTAGTTACAATATTTCACTTGTGGTGCCTAGGCAATTAGTCATGGAAATGGATGTGAAAACATAAAAATCCAGGGACACTACTCGAGAGATGGACACATCGTAAACAGAGCAAGTACAATGTTCCATCATCGTAAGGAGCAAGGTGAATTTGTTTTTTAAATGCTGACATGATATTCCCAAAACCCTAAGTACTTTTATGCAATCCAACTTCCAAACTTGTTTGAAATGTCCCTCTTCTGCTTAAAATGCTACAACCAAGCACCCAGAGCTGAATGATGTCTGCCTCTGTGTGAATCAGCCTCAACAATTTGTGGAAAGTCTTTCCTTGACCTGCCAATCAGTTCAGACTTCAGAGAAGACAATGTCAACGCAACTTATGTGGGGGCGGGGGGTGTTAGCGATCAGCTAAAATCCTGAACGGTTTACCATTTGGCAACCAATAAGAAGTGAAGCAAACAACTTGAGAATCTTGTGAGGTTGACATATTGCAAAAAAAAAAAATAGGGGCTATGTTTAAAAATGGGTCAAAGGAGAACGAAAATAATGGTGCTTTTAATTACACTGGGGTTATCAAGGTGAATTTTAACTTAGAAGTGCCTGGATTAACCGGATGCCGGGGGGAATAACAAACAGATACTAAGTGTGTGTTGCTCAATGCCACGCTGTAAAATAAAAGATATACTCGGGCACAAAACAGTTAAAGTAAAAATAAAAAAAAAAAAATTAGATTATGATCCAAAAACACGAGCTGAAGGTATTCATCACAATACTGAGAATTTGAACCTCATGAAGTGAAACATGGCGTCAATTCTAGCTTTGTAAAGTCAGAATCAATCTTAATCCCTCGGGAGTTTTACACCTTAACCCCGCTCAAACGATATGCTGTAAACGAAAAGTGCATTTACGTATACAGAATTAAAATATTAGTCTTCCCATGTAAATTGACAGGACAGCCCTGAATCCAGTTGGACTTTTGCAGGATTTTGGCTGCTTTAGGAAAAACAGAAAGTTCTTTCAAACTAGCTGTTGCTTGCAACACACAGTAATCACACCAAGATACAGATAATCCAGATATCTCATGAGTTCTCTTAGTAAGTTATGCTCACAAACACCAAGGCCTTTGGGTTGGTTTCAGTTCAAATGGAACCCTTTTTCATGAGTAGCCCCAAGAAGTCGCTCCCTCAAGATTTCCTCGCTAGAGTATTCTGGCAGTTTGAGGTAATGAACACAGGTGTTGACTGAGGGATAGGTGCTGTCGTTGGCATCCACCTTACGTACAATAGTTAGACGAGGATGGAGGTTAGCCAAACCACCAGGAGGCAAAGAGGAACAGCCAGTGGTGAACTGTAAGAAAGCTTTCCGTTCATCAGGTGTCAAAGAGGCCATCACGTTGACAAAACGCTGGAATCCAGGACTGTTGAATGAAGGAGTATTGTGTAGGAAAATGAGTTACCGGTAGTCTGATAGCCAAGTCTCATGCAAAAATAAGGAGTCAGATTTTTTGTAATGATTTGCACATTTTTTAAGACAGATGATGGGACTATTTTGGTACTGTTTAGCATCAATACTTTTCATATCACCAATCTCCAAGTTTACCATGTTTTTCACACAACCCTGGGAGACAGGGATAAGATAACACTTCAAACGAACATCTGAGAATTAGGAAAGCTAAACTTTTCTCCATTGTAAGCAATTCAGTTGATTTTGGTCACTATCGCTAATACTGTAAAAACTGTTTGCCTGGAAAACCCTCTGGTGCAGGGAAACTGTACAAAGGAATCCCCTCCACTCCTGCCCTTTCAGTTTTAAGCAATTATTGTTTTGGGATTCTTCTCCAAGAGCTTGGAATTCTGAGCTCCTAGGACTATGACGTTACCTTTCTCTGGTATATCCCAGCTTGGGTTCGGTATAGTTCAAGATGTCATCCCTGGTCCACATTGGTGCTTGGTCACCACACATCATGGTTTGTAGCTCTGATGGACTGAAGCTATGTAACTTCTCCATAGGGAAAACCTCATCAAAACCCTCTGTCAGGAAACAGAAGAAATTAGATTGAGATTAAGTCACTCTTACAACACAAGTTTCACTGCTGCAGTTTCAAACACTGATTGATTGAACACTGGTAAAGTAGCCACAAAGTTCATGTTGTTACTTTGATATCTGGAAAGTCCACACTGTTTACCATCTACAGATCAAATGCCCTTCAGACATACAACCAACTAACAATACCAGTTAAATACACTTGAGTCCGATTTAACCAACCCCAGACTTGTTTAGTGCCAATTTCAAAAGTATCTTTCTTAATGCGTCATTCCATGAAGTTCGGGCACAGTTTGTGACGGCATCCCTTGTTACATCAGTAACATTTATTGCCCATTATTTTCACATTAAAACAGATTAGGTCATTATTATTTGGCAAAGATGAAGCACACCACTACAAGAACCTAGCAAGATTTAGAACAATGTCAATTTAGAATCCATATGCAGGGAAATAAAGATGTTTATTTTCACGGATGTAACAAGGGACACCGTCACAAACTGTGCCCGAACTTTGTGGAATGACCCAAATGGCCTTGACAGCTTGATGAATCATCCATGGGTTGGTGGCGTGAGAAGGGATAGGACTGGCACAGTTACTAAGCAGAATCTCACACCTTACCTTTGAATGCCTCAATCTGACGTCTTATACCAGTATGCAGACAGAAGTCATTTACTAACTCAATGTACTCCTCTGCATTATCTAGTGTCAGAAGTTCTTCACTACCTCCAGGCTTGAGATCATAGGCTGAATAACCATACACACTAGAAGATGGACTAAACTGGAACGTCAGTCTGAAACGTGACAAAGACAGAAAAGGACCTAGATTAAGTAAATATTTCCAATATAAATGGATAAAGAACTCAAGTTGAACCTTTAAAAGGGGGTTTCCTGCCAATTTAATTTCCAAGTTTAAAAGGGGGTTTCATGCCAATTTCATTTCCCAGTTTAACAGGGGGTTTCATGCCAATTTGTTCCATCTTTCAATCAGGGTAAATCTGTGTCGATAGACACTGATGTTGTAAAGGCTGCTCCACATCTAGTATGACAGCTTTGTCACTACAAAGCATTGTTGTATTCAACTTTTTAATACTGTCCGTCACATTTGCACTAACAAAGACCTGGGCTTAGCTTTCATTTGAGATGATGGCTACACACTGATTGGTCTTTTGGTTATGGTTCTTGACGGCAAAGCATTTCTTTAACATCATTACTAGATGGTCTTATTCCATGTGCAGTGTATCTAGACAGATGGTTCAGTGGTTTCCGATATTTTTTTGACTTCTGCTCACCCCAAGTCCTCAAGTCTTACTGGAGGTCCCAGCTTAGACTCCTCCTCCAAAGTTAGCATCTGAATCTCATTATTCCTCTCTTCCTCACTCTTGGACTTGTCCTTCAAAATCTGTCGCTTCCGGTCAACCAAGACCTTCAGCTGGCGGAGGAAGTGAGCACGATGAGGGGCCACTATCTCCAAATCCTCTAAAATAAGCAATCCAGCAAACCAGGCTGGGGTACGGGGTTTCGGTGGGTCACCCATGATAAGCTCTGCCTTGGATTCACACTCATCAATGGACAGCTCCGAGATCAGATCATGGATGTCATCTAAGGAAGCCTCAGACTGGGTATCATTGGACATCTCCGAGTCTCGGATTGAAGACTCTGGAGTGACGGACGACCTAACGCTGCTACCAGCCTCTCCCATACACATGAGCTTGAGGAAAGGGCGAGAGAAAGGGAAATCTACAATACGGTTGTCTTGCAGGCACTTGGCGAGGAAGATACCTAGGAAACGGAAGAGCTGGATGACACGATCAATGTCTTCACTATCCTGGACTAATGGAGCTGGGAAGAGACCACAGGTACGCTGGATGTAGAAACCTCTTGGCTTGACACCCTCACCAATGTCAACCTGTTCAGATACAATTGATAAATAGTTGCTCTCAGAATACTCAACATCCAAACAATGGAGCAAATACAAATCTGTACAGTATAAAAAATTGCAGTGCAAGAATTGATGTTGTACAATCCCCCTAAATATTGACTTTGTTGAACTGACCTCTCTAGACATGTCATCTGGGAATTCATCGTCACATAGCCACATGCCTAGACTCTTACGCTGTAACTCAGCAGCTATGAGAGCATAGAATTCCAAGGTGGGTCCTAAACCTGTTCCTTCCTCACCCATAAACTCAACCTGCAGATGACCCAAACATAGTGAAGTAAATAGACAGGTTACATTTTAAATCAATTCTCATACTGGAGAAAAAGAAATTAATAAAAGACCCTGCATAAAAGAACAGATTACATCTCTGTCCATTCAGGTAGACACATTCCAAGGACACAGTTTAATTCTAAAACTAGGAAACTTTTTCACCCAATTTGGGATAGTACCCTGTATTTGCTAACTGAAACATTATCTAATTAATGAACAGGTGTACTGGAGTGTTCCAGTAGACTGTGACTATTCAAATCACAAGAAGAGTGCAGGATTTTCATATCTAAGGGACATATTTAACCCCCGGAACCAAGGTAAAGCTGATAAGTTGTACGGGTGACTGTTGAAGTATGGCATGTCAGCACTGTGCTTGTCCGGAACTAAAGCTTCCAGTCAACCAACTGACTGACTGACTGGCTGACCCGTACTAGCACCAACCTCTAAGATAGACTTCCTCCGACTATGTAATCTCATGACATTGATGGCCCATTCCAACAGCTGCTTCTCATTGCGTGGTACCTTGACTCTCTCATGCTTCAACCTGCCTACTCTGAACTCATGCTGGTCATCCCTGCGAGTACTTGGAGTACGTACTCGCTCAGTATTGGCGTCACGCTTCTCTTGGAGCCAAGCAATTGCTCTGTGAAGGAAAATGATGGATGGTAGCTTGAGATAAGATTGTCCAAGACAAATCCAGGAACATGATAACTACGTATCAGGAAAGTATTGCTTGCTGGTGTAAGCACTATACATTTACGTTCAACTGCGTTATATTTCCCCAAAATGAATTTTTGGAACAATAAGCTTGCACACTGCTCCAAGTATTACTGGGTCCAAAGTTCTACACAAGCGGAAAGGTGTCATTCTGTAACAGAGATCATTAGAATGAGTAATTTATGAATGAAAAATACTTGACGAATGAAAAGCAGATTTCAAAAGTAATGATGCTACCAACATTTTAGCATTGGTTTTTAAAACCTTCATCCTTATTAAAAAGAGCACTGGAATGACACTTTCCCACATTCAGGTCCAGGTACCTTTCAATCACACTGCAGCCTTTACCCTCTGGACTTGACAATAAAACCTCTTCTTACCTGGAGACACCAAACGCTGTACAAGAGAAGAATAGGTGTCTGGTCTCAAATGGGAAGAGCATGGGGCATTTCTTGGTGAGTTTACCACACCAGTTGGGTAAGGACAAACTAGCTAGCACCAGAGGGTCCTGTAACAAATCAATCAAATGGAGACATTGTATCAAAGACCCTCATCTGTCCGTCTCTGTAGAAATCAAATATTCTCATGTATCTCTTGTCCTCCTCTGACAAACGAGACTTACTTTGTTTCATTAAAAAGATATGCAGTTCATTAAACTAGAACACAATTCAAGTTTGTTTAATCTGTGTTTTATTCTCTTCCTGCCAAAGCTTACCTGAACCTGTTGAACCAATTTATTAGTTATCTTCTTACTGCAAAACTCATCAAGTGGGACATTGTAATAGTGGAAGTCACCCCCTACAATAAGGGAAAAAAAGGTTAAAAAAATCAGAACAATGTTTCATACATCATCAAAATTGTTCAAACAATATTTTGGTAAGAGGTGTTTAAACTACAGATTATCTCTACATTGTTTAATAGAACTAAGACAACTGTGATCAAGGTTATTGATTTTTGTTTCAAAAATTCTTTCCCACATGGCATAATGGACTAGACACCGACGTAGAAACAAACGGATTCACCAAGACTGTATTTACCTCGAAGGCTGGTACTGCTGGCAGCACTAGCTACTGCATGAAGTATCCTAAGTAACTGTAACACGTCATTGACAGAGGCAGCTGAAGGATCCATGGGATTAGTTGACGGTCCACCACAATCGGTATCACGTAGAAGATGATTAGAACCATGTCTACTGCGTTGATGAGCTGGCTTAGCCAGACCTAGGTGAACAAATTCCTGGGGAAGGCAAAAGGAAGAGATGAATGACAGATTGATTGGTTGATTGGTATTGATTGATTGGTATAGAACAACATTCTGGATCTCTGATACACTCTGACCTGGGGCCAGATTCAGTCAAATATCAATTCTACTTTAGTTTCCTGTTTGTTTCAGATTTGTCTGTCTATTTTGGCAAACATGGCATGCCTTACACAAGCTTTTGCTTTTTTTAATTAATCTGCTGATACGTTATTCTTTTATGTGTCATTTTTTAACCCTCCTTTAGTTTTACAGCACAAATGTGCACAAGTGCCCAAGGTCACTCTCTTGCATGTTGGTGCAGTGCACAACACGACACAGCTGTGCTTCTTTGAGGTGTTTACCAAGTGACCCAAAGAGTGACTTCAGCATAGGAGGGTTAAGCTTGCCCATTAAGTGGAAATAAATGGTACTAAATATAATACATCATAGGCAGGCTTCAACCTTAAGCTTCAGAGGGTCAAGGCCACTTTGGCCTTGAATGCTCCCAAAAACCAAAGGGCCCCAAGGCCAACTGAAAGGGCACCGAGGACATTTTGAAACTTTTACTTGTTGGTGACTATGACAGACTTTCCTTCAAATTCAACACGATATTTAACTTTCAACCTGCAATTTTCATTGTTTCTGTTCACATGCTAAGCAGTCTGCTTGAATTGTAAAAATAAAAATAGAAAATACTATACTAAGTTTTAATTTACCATTTGGTGTTGTGTATTATTACTTTTCATAATGCCAAAAAGGCAACACTGTATAATGAAAATCAATGTAATTACTCAAAACAATGCAATTCAAACAAGTCAGTCACTGGGTCAAAATACCAGTAAAATAGCCAGGAAAAAAATAGACTGGGTCATACTCCCGTCCACAATCCCCCCTAAATAGTGACTCAGTCTCAACATGTGCAATGTACAGAATCCAATCGGTGTAGAATGTGTAATTCTGTGCTGCGACCTGTAACCAGTCTATGTAAAAAAGTAGTCTGGTGCCATGTTTTTAGAGTCACACAAGTCAACTACGTTGGTTTGGTTGCCATACCATGTTGTCTGCAGGGCGATGCACTGAAACTAGTCCGTGAAAAAAAAAAGTACTCGGCGCGGCTGGCCGGCCGCTGACAGAAATGCTAGTGCTAAACGGTCACTTGAAAGTTGAATACAACTTTAAATACATGTAGGCCTACTGATCACTGAAGAGGGGCACGTCGGCCAAGTGGCTGAAAGGTACGCGCTATTTTTATTTATTTTTTTTATATTTATTTTTATTTTAGGCATCACGGCAATTCACTGGGGCAGTGGCCGCTGTAAAGATCAAAGCCTGATCATTGGTACTATTTGCTGTACATATTCTATGCCTTGCCTTGTACGCTGCTATGAGCTGGGAACAGTTTCTTGTCTTGCGTATATTCTTAGCTGCTCCTGTCATCTTCCATCGTCTCAGGAAGTGGGCATCGCCGTTATGCTGAAGGTAGGAAATCAACTCTGTCTTGGGGAGTTGATCGGAGCCTAGATGTCGCTCCACAAATGGGATGGACCATCGACCCTACAAAAGGGTAAATCAATTTGCCACAAGTTGTGAGTAATGAAACATGAATCACCTATCAGTGAGTCAATCTGATGACTCAACTCAGCTTTGGTAATGTCAATCTTGGATGCTCATTATTGATACGATCAGAATACAAAGCAGTGGATGCACAGGGTACACCTGTTCACAGGGGTTAACCACTTCCTGCCGGGGAGCCCAGTACTGGAGACCTAAACTGTAAGCGCATGGCCGGGGTGCCCAAAATCGGAACTTTCTTTATAAAAAAATTAAAGTCAGAAAAAGTTTACTTGCTGTCAGTCAGCTGTCAAGCTTCATATGCTGTCTGCAAAGTGCAGGCCATATTTAGCGGAGGTAATCTGTCATTGTTTTGAAACAGTACCATTGTTTGCCACTGCCAGCTCCCGTGGATTATCAACGGGGACAAAAGCACTCCAGCGAAGAGCGATAAAATACCGCTGGGCACTCGTGGAATCTGGCCGCATTAGTACACACAACACTGCCGTCTGGCAGCACGTGATGAATGCCGCTAACTCCACCCGGCAGGCAGTAGTTAACATTACATGTTAATGTCATGACAACAGGTGTCATTCTTCTGCAAGCACAACATTATTGTGTCACTCTTACAAATATACACCTCATTGTAAAACAATGACCTCAAGATGGCCAATGAGAGTGTAAGGGTAAGCTTGAGCAGGGTCAGGTGAACGGAAATGATCAAATTCCCCAGCAGGTATTTCTCTGAAGACTTTTTGTAGGAAGAGAGAATTTACCTCTTTGTTTTGAGTAAGTGACATGGATGCATCCTCTGGTCTCAGCTCTCTGTAAATAACTCTGTTTGAAAAAATACATAATACACGTTAAGTTCCATAACTTACTCTTTACATGTCAAAATTACTTCAAGGAAAATCAAACAGCAGACAGATAAAACACTTATATGTGGGTGTTTTAAACAAGTGACCTTTGAAGATTCTTTTACAATCACAGCAGTGCACATCTCCTACAAACTTTTTTCATCCTTAGAAAATGCAAGTACAGTGTTGGTATATTAATGAAAAACCTAAATCTTATCAAAAATAGAAAAACCTTGTGTTTACAAATCAAAAAAATAAACAGAAAACTGCACTTGTTGCAGAGAATTAAACATAATTTGGATTTATGAAACCTTGTAGTTTGATTTCCAATCTGAATGAGATTTTGATATCTCGGTATCCAGACTACAGAAAAGCAAAATGCATGACCACTCACGTGTAGGTGGGTTCCCATATACGCCTGAGTTTGTCCTGTTTAGTACCAGCTGGTGTATGTTGGTATAACGTCTGGATGTACTTGAAGACTGTAGAGCAGGGGTCTTCACAAAAAACCTCTGTCTCAGGGATCTACAACAATGGAAAGATATATAAAAGTCTAATATGTTCAGGAATGTTTTTTGTCACCAATCAACTAGAGTGTGATTTAATACAAAAACTCAATTTTATTATTACCATCTCCACTTTCACTATTGAGATCCAACAGTGGTCAAACTGGAAACATGTTGAATTCAAACTAACAGACAGATAAAATACAAGATATTACGTCTTCTACGTTTGATATTTTTCCCTGTTTTCATTAACTGAACATTTCTCCCTATGATACAGGAAGAGCCTTGGTTGACTGTTCTGCAGCAGCTGGTATGGAAGTTGGTGCTCTGGTTTTTTGTTTTCAGGCAAACTTTAGAGGACGGGGGAAAAACCCCCAAAAATCATTTCTACGGTCTCAACTAAAACAAATGAGGGTCTTCACATCTGAGGGAAGAATACCAAATATCCCATCCCCCCAAAATACCACTTATCCCCTTACCTGCCAAGACCAATGCTCACAAAATTTAATCAGGAACTTTGTCATCAGTTGGACAGTAGAACAAACAAAAAACTTTTTTTTCCATATATATATATTGGTAAATTGTTGGTCGGCTTAGCCAAGAGTTCTAAAAATAATAATTTTTGGTTTTTTTCCCAGTTCTGAATCCAGAAAGTTGGCATATCTGAGTACCGACTTGAAAAACTCTTGCCTAATAAAGTAAACAAATGAAGAGACAGGCAGCTTACCCCAGGTAATCCTGGTCCCCTGATAAACAGAGCTAGATGAGGGCAAGGGGTGGAATCTCCGTCATCTCGGAAGGAGGTGTCAGGAGAACCTAGTAGATGATAATAAAGAAACATGAATTCAAGAATGTGCTGTATCTGATAAAGGTAACATTAACATTGAAGGTAACACAGTCCTTTTATGCATTTCACTGAAGTAAAGAGATGTTTAGTATTACAGCTAGGGCTAGAGCTGCTGGGAATTGCTAACATTTTTTCAGTTGTCAATAGAAGAGGAAATTGATCATTGTTTTGAAAGATTATACCACTGATTGTGGCATTCAGCGCGAGCCGATTACCACCGGGGACAAAAGTGCTCTAGCGCTCCAGTGATGAGCGATACAGTACTGCTGCATGCTAATCTGGCCCCTATTGAAAAGATGCCAACCACTCACTGTGCCACTTTTGCGAACGAAAGAAACTTATGTAACACCGCACAATCGGGGCTCTCTTTACAAGGCAGCAGGCCTGGCTGAAATACTCGGGCATCAATAGGTGTTGTCTATTAGATTAGAGTAGCCACCAGACAGTCATTCGTGTGGGTGTAAACATCCAGTAAATGAAGTTATGATTTTTAAAGAATTTTGAATACAGAAAATCTTGAAAATCTCCTGGTTTTACGTCATGCAACTTCAAATTCCACCCAGCAGCAAGTGCTTAAGGGTGAATTTGCTGCATAAATACCTACCGCTGCCATGACTTTGCTTTTGTGTAGAGTAGAAAGTAACATTCACGATGCATCAAGTTTTGCATCTTTTACTTCAACCATTTCCATGGAAGCCATACAAATTTTATAAAGAATAAGCTCTAAAATCCTGTCTCCAAATATATAAGACTTTTACCTGGAGGTGGAATCTCAAGGTCTGTGGTCTGTTGGACATTGGTTCTACCTGGGCGTGGATCAAAAGCTGGGACCAAGGCTGAGAACTGTCTCTTAAGGACATGTTCATCATCCCAGGTACGCCTTCGATTGCCTCTTGGATCATAATCCTCCTCCTCCTAAACAAGAGAAAAAAAAAGACCATTTATTTGGTGAAATCCATGGGGACAGAATTTGAGCTTGATCAATTAAAAAACAATATACGACATGGATGTTAAGATGAGTTGGGTGAAACAAGCCCAAATTGACTCCACTCAATGAACATACAGTATTATTTCATAAACAGGGACGCTATCAAGGCAAAAGTTACTTTGTTAATTGAAAGTAAGTTTTTGCATGATATTTTTTAGCAATATTTGAAAGTCTCCCTGAACAATATCAATAATGAAATTAATTTCTTTTCATGATATATTATCAAAATATCTAATGATATAAGGCAGGATATCTTAATTTATAAATCCACTTTTGAAACAGCAAGAGTTTAATTCAAAATATTCAACACAGTTTTGGCAGAGTGGGCCATCAATAATTTCACTTACAAAACAGAATATCAAGGCAGGTCAATGGAAAGCTTGCAATATTCTGGTATTTTTTTGGGGGGGGAGGGCTGGGATTAGTGACTGGAGGACGTCAACCTACCGTGCAATCCTCATAATCATCTCCTTCACTATCATCCTCGTTTTCATCGTCCAATTCCTCAGGCTCAGGACAGAATTCATCATCCTCCAGCTCAGCCAACAAAGAACTGGCTCGGCAATTCTCCAAGAACTCGTTATCACTCTCACTGGAGTTGGAGGTCATGCTAGAAGCAAGGACTGAGCTGAACGTAGAAGCTACCGTGGCTGCTGTAGCACTGCTAGTAGTGTTAGCCAAGGAGGTGGTGGCTGGTAGATTAGGAGCACTCTGAGCACTGCTGAGGAAGTTGCCTGAGGGTCAAGTAACAATTTACAAGTAGGGACCGGTGAGGCACCAAAAATCTTCAGTTTGTCCTCTCATCCAAAAATAAATGTCTCCAAAGTCCAAGATCTTTACATTCTATCACTCAATCTTTTCTTTCAACTTCATCTTTCAATCTTAGCTAAAAGACAGTCCATCTGTCTGTTGGTACCCTGTTTTTCTTTGACTTCGGCCACTGGTGACTGATCTCTTCCCTAACATCATGGCGTCAACTTTAATAAGCTGACCTAGATAATTTGCAGACAGCAAACTCAAAAACTGAAATTTGTCAATACATCATTTCCTTACACTCAGCATGCAAATGCAAACATTTATGCACCAACACTTGCCACTCACAGACAACTCATTGCATGCACATGACAGGTGTGGGTGGAATTTATTGTAAGTGGACAAGGAAGGTATTAATTCAGCACCGGCTTCAATATACATACTTTCTCTCAGCACTTAATACGGCTCAGAAGTGATCCACTTTTACATTATCAACCCCTCCCAAATTCATCCCAAGTTGTAAGTTAATGGCAAGCTTCTTCCAGAAGAAATGTGCTCTGCTTTGATGCATTATATGCCAAGAAAATCTTGGAGAATTGTGGACGGCACAAGAAAATGCCCAAAAGCCCTACTCACTGCTAGACAGTCCAGACGACAGTGGGAACCTAACAAAGCTTGAGGTGAAGTTGGTGCCCCGGCCTGATAACACTGCATTGCCACTACCCCCGCTCCCACTACGACGCATCAAGGCAGGGAACGACTCCATCAATCCAGCTACAACATCTCGTGTGCTGGACAAGTTGGGAACACTCACACTCATGCTGCTAGAAGTGCTGCTACTAGTGCTGTTGGGTGAGGCAGTAGTGGTAGAGACTGGGGTACCTAGGAGTGGATGGTAAAAGGTCAGGATAGCCAAGGCAACAGGGGTCAACTTGCTCGTTTGGGGAGGATTTGGCTTAGAGTGCATTCAAATGACAGAGTCAGTTTAGATGCAAGGGGTGATATGGGCTGCTTTTTGTGATGGCATTAGCAGAGATTATCACTTAATTTTGCCAACTCGAGATAACAAATGACAGAAAACAGCAGGCAAGTATTGTTAAGACTTTTGATTCTGAAATTGGTATTGTCCAACTGATCCACAGAAAATGAAAAACTGGTGAAATGAGACTTAAGAAATGGAACGATATTATCTCTGGGGCATTTTCTTTGAGTGAGAACATGTCATTAACAGACAGAATTTTGTATCGTGGACAAAGCAAAGTTGCGCAACCATGTGATCACTCTGTGATTTTAGCCATATTAAGAATAGATTTCTTTCCAACAGAACATTATCACTTGAACTTGATATCTGAAGGGCGACATTTGAATTTTAGAAGAATGCACCCTGGACACCGCCATAACTGACGTAAACAGTTCCTTCCATTTGAATTTAAAATCACTTTCATGGCAATTAGCTTGACGTTTAAAAATTGACTGCAGACGTGAAATATCGCCCTGGTAAGAGACTGAAACCAATTCTACCTACAGGTGGTCAAAATGTGCACAGATCAACCCAAAACACTGCAGCACCCTACAAACACTACAGACGTGAACTTCTGGTTGCTAATGGGTCAACAGCATTACAGATGGCATGCACAACATGACATGAATCTTAACTCCAAACTTTGACAACAATTCCAGCAAGCAGTGTAAGTAAGCTTCAAATGCAAGTAATTCTTTAGCGTGTGGGGGAACTAGCAGTATTATGCAACAGGATTGATGGTTCTGATCTAGCAGAGCTTTCAAGCCAACTTTGTTAGTTTTGCACAAGCTATTAGAGGCAACTTTCTGATGAGTATACCAAAGCTTGCTTCCTTAAACTCTAAAAAAACTCCTTTAAGTGTCTCCTATGGTAACACTCAACGACTCACTCCCCTGACAGCACAAATCAAATACTAAAAAACTGTGAACATTTACATTTGCAATCAGGAACCAGTCCCATCTAGATATGAGAGAGATTTAACCTTTTCCCACAAAACAAGAACAAAGTAGGTACAACTACAGCATTCTTTTACAAGTACAGTTCTTTCATCATATGCATCAACTGCCAGAGTTTTTCTGACATTTAAAACTGGCACCATCAAATTAACCCCTTCGCTCCGGGAGACGGCAAGAGCCGCAGCTTTGTGTGAGGATTAGTGCATACCACACATACAGTCTATTCACCATGCAGCTGCAGGTTCAATGGGGCCTGCTGATGGACGAAGCCCTCCATTCAGGGCATACCACAGCCCAGCAGTCACGGTCAAAAGAATACCGGCGCGAAGGGGTTAAACATCTCTTTTCCTTCTTTACCAACTGACAACAAATTAATATGACTTAGTTTTTCCTTATCTCTCATTCCATGGGAATAGGTCACTAATGCACTACCGGTATAAGACAGACAACAATTGGACTAACCTGTGGTGGGTTGAGCAGCCTGCTTATTGGCCGCATTACATTCCATAGTTGCCGTAGCAGTCTGTTCCATCTCAGCAACCAATTCTGGACTCTCAGCAATGTCTTCCGCTCCGCTCAGTCGACTGCTTCGTACTGTGGCCATGAGGGCACTCTCCACCATGGAGGTGGCCATGGTAATACTTGAGGTCAGGTCAGAGGTTGAGGCATGATCTCGATCTGGTTGGGATGAATGATCATATTAGGTAATTCATATGCCCATTCTCTAACACCTGTTTTATATCACATTCCCCTCTAAGATCTACAACTCCTCAATCCTTTCCAACCATGGCCAAATCCAGGAATACTACCATTAATTACCATAGCCACAATACATTAACAATACAACTGTCAATAAAAACGAATTCAAAAGCAGGTTGTAATTTGTTTGACTTTACTCCTTTTCTGTTCCGTTTGCTTTGTTCACTGCGCTTTTTTTACTGAGAAATGAAATAACTTTAAAAAAAACCTAAACATCTATTACACCTGACAAACATGATTGTGTTGATATGAAGCATGGTGGCATGAGTGTAGCTAGGTTTGTACCTTTTGAAGTTGTCTTGTTAGTCCCTGGTGTTGTCTCATTTAGGCTGGGTGTAGAGTTACTCTTACGACTGACTAGACTGGTTCCTGATCCACTACCTCCCCCTGTGGCACCTGCTGTAGATGCTTTATCTGTTGGAGTTTTCTCTCCTGAACGAGGATGGCTTGCTGCACTAGCATGCTTGCTACTGGAGGCTAACAAAGTGAAGATAACAGACCCATCCACTCGATTACTGTTTGTAATGCGTTCATATAAACAGGTCTTTAAGCACAAACAGTCTGAGCCTCCAAGACTTGTGTGTTTCACTTACAGTCAAGGTCTGGTTCTTTACCTTCTCTGTGCTCTGCCAGGACCACTCCTTCCAGCAACTGGGTCTCCTGCTCCCTCCATTTCCAGTCCATGCCACGCCCCCTTCCAATACCGCTCACCATCTGTCGCAGGACCTGAGAACGCATTAACCGACGCTGCTTGCGTAGACTAGCTTCTGTGTCCTTCACGGTCTTACCTGCCACACCAGCGCGGGAGAAACAAGAAAATCACTGTAAGAACCATGAGTGATCATGGAAAGTTTCTTTAGAAGTTATTTCCCTCACATATAAATTTTGTGTTGATAATTCCAACACAGAACAAAGCCTACATGGTATTTCAACTGAGCATACTGAAATGAAATGTGCCATAGGTTATTAAGGACAATCAAAATTTTGGGCCTGGCAGTGCAGGAATAAACATCCAACAACTGAACACGAAGTTGGTGTGATGTTGGATTCTTTATTCCAAATGACTTTGTTTCACTGAAATATCAACTTTGGCCTGTTGGGGTTATGATGTCAATTCACTGAAGGTACTCACTACTGCCTAGGGATTCCTCCACAGCGGCGGTCACTGTCCCATACAGCTCAAAACCAGACAGCGATAGGTAATGTGTCTGACCGCTGGCATTCTTTCCTGTCTGTTGTAAACGAACGTAGCGCCATCCTTGCTTCTCATCTTTGGAGGGCTCCACTGGCCATGTTGCAGTTGAACTGACATAAATAATGAAGTGTCTCCTGCATCAGAACCAGCTTGTGAACCCGAGTAAACTTACTGGTCAACTGGCTAAGACAGCTGGAGTTCTAAGCAAGAAGTCAAGCCTCACCAGTCATCTTGTTAACAGCTTGTTTTCAGTCAGATATTCTCAAACAGACTGTCATATAATCCAAAGCTTTCCTCAATGGGAAGAGTTTGTTTCCAGAAAAGAAGAGAATAGCCTGAAGGCCTCGTCACACTACTGCTTGTCAATCCGAACTGGACTGAACCCTGGGTGAGCCCATGGCTGCGCCGGGTTGAAACTTTGATTTTTCAACCCTGCATTCAACCCAGCATTGTTTCACACTTGCGTCATGTAAAAAAGTTTTCAACACAGGTTGAAACATCTCAGTCCTGGTCCGGAGCAGGGCTGACTTCAACCCAGGTTGAAGTCAATCAAGTTGATGCAAGGTTGGCACAGGGTTGAAAATTTTTAAATGTGAGTCGTCGCCAGTTTTCAACCCTGTGTCATCCATGCATCAACCCCAAGCTTTGTCTAGTGTGAAAAGGACTTTACAAGGATTTGAAGTTTCATCATGTGAAATTCCTTACCCTGGTTCATTAAGAGAGCTATCATCTGCATGCGTCATCAAAGTCAACCAGTTCTGATTATCCTTTGACACCTGGAACAACCAGTTTCTCAGTGCCGATCTCCCATAGCCTCTAGCATGGCGAAGAGTGTAAGCTGAAGGAATGACCCACAAACCAAGGTCAATAGAGAACCAGGCTTTCCTGTAAGATAAAGGAACAAATACACAGAGGTTGGCATCAGTGGCTTCTGACTGGGTTAGTACCCAGGGGGTAGAAAGTTTGGCAATAGAAGGTATTATGACAAAGGCCAGTAAGGCATTGATGAAAAGAGAGCTGTCTTGGTGGTGACTTTGTAGCATGGCTGCATGCTTATATTTCCTTTAGCTAAAGTTGAATCACTCTGGTCAGAAACACCGACACTGTAACTAAATGAAGGATAAGTAAGTCAACCAAGTGAGAGTGACAACTATCCTTTAGATACCCTACCGATAGGTGATAAATGAAGACAGCATGGGGGTTTGCACTCACTTATCATCATTGGTGTGGCAATTCAAGGCAGAGGTATCTCTACTCAGAATATCTTCCAACCGACCGTAGGGCAGAGTCCGTCCTTCTGAGCAATTGACTACTATCAGGCCATACTGGGCTGGGTTGACCCACTCATAGCCAGTTCTGAATGTAAGAGAAGGAATAATACTGCTGTCTGTATGAATGGAACATGGGCAAATACAGTCATGAGCAAGTGCGTGGAAACACTCAGGTTGGCTAAAAAGATAGGAAGACAGGGAATGTGTGACGAGCAACAATGGACTGCCTTTCATCGCTTGATCAATTTAGTGGTTGTATTTTACAAAGCTTTGTATTCTACGAACTAACTAGTCTTGATTCAGGACAGTCATTTCAAACTTGTTGATAACCCAGAGTATATTCAAATGAAGAAAACCTGTTCAAGTTTGGTTTGTCTTGTCTGCAGTTGATAGACAAAGATTCAATTGGGCGATTAGTGGTAAGACTTGATATTCAGTGCATGTGGTCTAGTCAGTCCACTTAGTTTACATAGGGAATGCATTGTGGGCAAACATGGTAACAGTCTACACCTGATTATCATAATGCATCTATGTATTACTTTGCATTGGTGCCAATCCAGTAGACAATTCCATTCTCATCAAAGTCATGAGTGTGTCTGAAGGTGACAGGTGGGCCCTCCTTCAGTCTCTTGACAAAAGCGAAGCTGGAGCGCTCATAGTCATACCACTGCTTAGCCACCTGAAAAAAGACAGAATCCTCAAACATCAGCTCAGTAACTGAAGGTTCATTAGAGGTTGGAGAACTTTAGATAACTTCTGCCAGATACAAATCTTGAATGCCTTACTGCATTTCAAAATTAAACAACCACAAATTTAGTTTGCAGAACGCTTTTTTGAGCATTATGAATGAATTATATTGAGTTCTGTTGATTTTGCATTTTAGGCAACTTTTTATGCTAAGGGGTTGGTGGTCTGTACAACCGTGACTCGATTATCCACTGTTTTCTGTATTTGTCGTACCATTTTCAGGAGGTATCTCTCCAGGCTAGCCACGGTGGTGAGAGGTTCCATCTTGAGTGTGCGACCTGTGCGATCTATCAATGATGCCTCCCCAGATGCCCTCTCAAGACGAAAACGCAATCTCCTTGTCAACACCTGGATCAAAAAATTACACAGTGCAGAGGCTCTGTGATAGATTATAGATACCATGCAACGGATAGATCAAACATATTCTTTATATGACAGTTAAATCTCAATATTGCTTTTGCAGCCATGGTCAATATTTCTTAACAGATACAGTTAATGCCAAAAGATTGGATTGATGAGTAATTGATTATTGATTGAATAATAATGGCAATTCTCAAAGAACAAGGAATGGATCCAAGGATCTTCAAATAACTCTTAAAGAGATACAGCCTCTTGTAATCTCTTTTTGTAAAAAACAATATTTATGAATTTTCTGACCTAATCAATGTTTTTCAGTTTCCTTGATTCCACTAGGCACAGCAGGGTCATTAAAGGTAATGTATGCACTAAGATAAGAATCTTAAAAAGTTCCTATGTTATACATGTGACTATTTCATGTTGCTTGTCCCCAAGGCTAATAAATCTGCATCTCGCCATTTTGACACAACACTCACTCTTGAAAGTATAACTGAAAACACAACTTTTGATGAGTTGTACTGCTCTCAAATATTTTTATCATTTCTACTGATTTTTGTCTTCTTTCCTAGAGTAAATACCTGTAAACCATAGCTGGATCCTGGTGTGTCATACAAGAATATCGACAGTCTCTCAATAGATTCTAACACAGCAACCAGCTTACGAACTAACATCACTGCAGGAGTGACCACACTGAGTTTGGACAGAAAAAAAACCAACACATGAGTATATCGTGTAGAATGTAATGTCAGATAATTTTGGAGTAACCAGTTAAAGCCAGGTGTGTTTGGTACATGTAAATCTGGTTAGTAATGGATTAACTAGACAGAAAACTGAAGGATATAATGAATGAAATGTGATGATTAAAGGACAAAGAATAAAAACAATGAGTAAATTCTTTTATAAATTGACTACTTTAATCTTTTAGAGAAAATAGCTACTTTCCACATTACAAGTAATAAAGTGTAATTCGTAAGAAATCACTGTTGGAAACAAACTATGCTCTACTGATGCCACTCCTTCAGTGTAATGTGCCTTGAAACAGAAATTTCAATTTCAAAGACATATACAGTTGTTCTAATGGAAGACTAGAACTAAATATGAATCTGTGAGTTAATAACTGGTCTAAATCTTGAGAGGGGTTCAACAATCAACCTACCCTTGGTCATCTGTTGTATCTCTGAAAGCAGCCTTGAAAAGGCTAATTCTCTCCCTCAGATGTCTGTCATGACAGGCTACATGGTCAAAACCCTGAATAGCAGAAGAGACCAAACTGTGGTAATCCAAAACCGGGTGTAAGCCTTGTAAAGCACGCACAAACTATGCACACGAACATGTGGGTATCTGTGCAGGGCCAGGGGTACTGTGAGGCCATTCTGATAATTGATAATAAAATATCTCATTTCATCTACATCTTCAGCCCTTATTTCTTGAATGCCAAGGAGTACAACCCAAGCCACCTACAACCAATAAGGCACTAGCGCCTAATACACTTCTCTAGGAAATAAAAAGATGCACGAAATCTTCTTGGCCCTAGGAGTGACTTACATTGTTGAGACAGTACAGCAATGCCTGAACTAGACCACTACTGTGAAGCTCATAGGCTGAGATGTTATTCTCATCTTTTAGGAGGAGGGTCAGGGATTCTAGAGCTGTCTTCAACACTTCAGACCAGCTGTGCTCTCCCTCTGTTGGCTGTGAGAAAGAAAAAAGTGGCAGGACCTAAGTTTGGATAGACGCTACTAAACGGAAATCCTACACAGGTTCCTAAACAGTTTTTTCTATGTTTACATCTGGTTAATTTGTGTGAATAGCAGTGATTTCATTATGATTCTACGTACATTAGTGTTAACGTGATACTAAATGAAAACAACAATACACGGATAACAATCCGTAAGATCATGCATGCCAGCTGTCAATAGTTAAGTTTGACAAGTTTCTTCTGCAAGTCCAACACCTGGAGCCCCGTTTTGATTTTGACAAAGCTAACCTTGGAGAGGTCCCCATGCATCTCACAGGCCTGCTCTATCTGCTGGACGATGCAATGGAGCTTGGCAACAATGTCTCGAGGATGAGATTCTGCTGCTTTGAAGTGACAGTCATACAATTCACGAGCAAGATTCTTCACCTGAAAGTCCCAGCAGGTCAGAAAACAATGTCATGTTACATCCTCACGACAAGACACATATTTAACCAAGATGATAATATTGAAAAAGTTTAGAGTGAGTTTGTAGTGAACATAAAGCGAAATTAGGGGGGATGCAGCTACACAGTTAATTCTTTCCTTCACTTTTTTTTACAGTACTTTTTGTTATTTCTAAGATTATTTCTGAAGATCTACTTTGAGTCAAGGAGATGCTTAGTATTTTTTAAAATCATAGGTTTTGCCCATACATCTCCACATATTGTAACACTGTATACTCTGTGTTGCCTAAGAGCTCATGAAAAATTCACAAGCTTTTACTCGGATGGGAGTTGGACCCATGACCACCTGCTTACAAGTGCAGACGTCTTAACCACTTGACCACCAAGTTTGCCAGAGTCAGCGGATCAGTTGGAGTCAGATTTAGCACAGGGTACCGCAATCAAACTATTTCCAAATACGCAGTTTGAGTTGGGAAGATTTCAGTTGTTTTCAAGAGCTCTCAGAAAACACTGCATATAGTGCTGTGAATATGTTTGTGTGAGGGCAAAACCCACAGTTAAGAAATTTTCAAAGACGATGGCTTGTTCCGAGTAGGTAATCCAATAGCCATTCAAGTTATTTCAGCTAGGAATGGACTTCCACAGATTAGATTCTGTGAGAGATTGATGCAAGACATTATCTTTTGACACAGACCTTTTGCTTCACCTGTTCCACCTTAGAGCGTAGTCTCTTGCCTCTCTTGCCTGTCCAGCTGGTAGAGAATTCAGGTCCTAGGGATGTCTCGGCAGTAAATGTGTGCTTAGTACCGCGATTGGATTCAAATACAAACCCCGCTAGATCCTCACGCAGGATGGTAGCCTAGGTAATAAGACCACAAACAAGTTGCTCCACATCAACTCTCTTCTATACAGATTTTGGACTCAAATTCCTAAACCACAAACTGATTTTCTTTGTTAATTCCATTATTAAGTGTCTGCTTGCATCATACAACTTGGTGTTCCAGCTACACGTAACTGGCGTTGAGTAAACCAGGCAAAATTACTGAGAAGTATCAAGCTTGCTTTGCTCCTGATATTTGTCAATGCAGGGGTGTACTAAAACTCATGTAAATTTTATTAAAGGAACAATGTTTGATGTTTAACCACTCAATTTAATTTTCAACAAAATGATACAATCAGATAAGTATTTACATGTTTGTGATATTTCTAAGATGTTGAAACACAGTACACTAACCTTTCAAACTTCACAAAGCTTACTGTTGCATATTCTTTTACTCTGGGCCCCTTTTCTTATACACATAAATACGTTAGTTTGATGCAACATTCCCTTTTTTGTTCGCAGAGAGTTAACATTTTTCCTACCTGCTGCCCATCTGAGTTGTGTACAATCACTTCTCCTTCTTTCTTACACTGTAGAGACCAGTTTCCAACAACCAGCTTTGTTGGGCCTACAGTGCTCAAGATAGGTTGGCTGCAAGCACCGGCTCGTACCTGACTCCGTGCACGCTGTAACTTCTCTAGAAACTCTCCACGGCTCTCTGAAATGACCAAAAAGTGAACATTTATTCCTGAGAGCTACCTCATAAATGCAACAGGAACAACTCATCTGGTCATATTCAGTTAATTCCGCACATGCAACAATTATCTCAGTTACTAGTAGTATTGGAGATTTTTTCCTTTTCACATCTACTCTAAAGATCAGGGTTCATTTCCTGCCGTCAAAAGCAGCATCCACAAGTGCATGACTACATTCATGGGTTCTTATGGAGATAACATGCACATATGGATTTTGCCTATATAAAGGACACCTGCTATTTACAAGTTGTTTCCAATGGCAACAGCGTGAGTTCCCAATTAAAACAGGTACAGTAGCAATCCTATGGCTTGTTCCAAGAATATGAATGCACATGAACTTCAGTTACACAATTTGAAGTCAAACTACTGACATCCCACTATTAATTAATGGATGTATGCTACAAGACACGCCGGCTCTCCAAAGGTCAAAGGTTAACTTACCTGAGCTGTCACAGCCTCCTTCTGGGCTACCACTGGAATACATAGTGGCCAGTTTACCATCTAGTATAAACCGGAACCAGCCATTGCTACCGTTAGACAGCTCCAGTGCTGCTGCATCACTCCAAATGTACAAGCAATCTCGACCTCTAGCCATGCACCAGTCCTTCCAATGGTAAGGACGACCTCCAACAATCTCCTTGGCATCTTCTAACTCTTGATCTCCTGTCTCCTGAAGATAGTAAATGAAGGGACATCATTGCTGGAATACTCTTCATAAAGATGTGTATTGTTACAATACCTTCGAACTGCTCAAATATAAAACAGGTGATGCATGCAGTGACTGTAATTTCCCACCTGTTTCTTATCATGTGATGTTGGTCCTTCCTCCTCAATGACATCAGGTGGACCAGCCAATGAGGACACTTTGCTGAAGATCCCTAGCCTGGCAAAGTGGTCTAAGAATAAATCTTGACCTTTACGCATGATGTCTTGGATTATTTGTAAAGCTGTCAAGTGGCCATCATCATCATCCTGGTGGGGTGTGTCATAGTAAAGAGAGCAGTCAGTGTCGTGGGACTAGACTGAGAATTGGTCAGTGGTGGGGTACGTCAAAGTAGACAGAGCATTAAGTATTATGGAACCAGACTGAAAAACCCAGATGGAAGTTGTAAACAAATCTAAACATTAGATTCAGACACAGCTTGTAAAGAAAAAGTGTTGGGTATTGTTCACTTTGATGCTGTGATATAATCATCTGATTTGAAAATCTGACTACAAGTTTTGCAACCTTGTTTACTTGTATGTGACCAAATCATATCGAATCATGAAGATTTTAATGCATCAAAATAAGCTATCTGAAGCAGGACTTTTCGGTATGCACATCAACAGTCATAGGGATGCTTTCAAAGTCATCAAAGTTCCTACCTCATGATCCAACACTGCAGCTAAGACTTCGACCAGGACCTGTGTAAAGCTGGCTATCTCCCCAACGCATACCTCACTGAGCAGTGAACATGGAGTATAGTGGATCATTTTACGGATAAGGGCTAGACTAGCTTTCCTGGAGATTGGGAAAAAAGAAAGAAAAGATCATGGGACAATTAAAAATGAGAATCAATTCTTGCCTGTGTAAGTACACATAAATAAATATCTACATTTTAGCTCAGCATCTGAAGATTTTCAAACATTCATGTTTCTTTTTAAGTTAATATCCTTTCCATATAAACACAACCAACTCCTCCATCCTACAATGAACTGCAGCTTGTAAGAAGTAGACAGCCATCTGTGATTAATCCTGAGGGCTGCTTAGAACACAATGCAACCAAACACTGGTTTACCCAAACATGGTAAGACTTCATGTGAATGTGCACATTTCAATGGTGTCTCTGTGTGTTTGCAGCTGCACATGGTGACAAAGCTTATCATATGCTTAAGTCACCACTAATACAAAAATCTGATACAAAGGCCCATAGACTATCAACACAAGTGTACAACCAAATCTGCTTTGAACTAACAGTAATTTGCTCTTACACAAGGAGATGGCAATTCAGTATGCAGAGCCAATAGCCCATTAGCATGGGTATGCAACGAAAAATGAAACTGGTGTGCCCTCAATTTCAAAACTGTAATTTATTCTTTTATTCAAGTACCATACCACGCAAAGTGGAGGATGGAGCTCATGGGACATACAAGACCTTTTACATCAATATATATGTACATGTACTTATATCAAAAAATACCAGAGCTACAGCAGCGGCTGACATCCATACCTAATAGAAGGCATCATGGTGTTATTGTAGACCTGAGCAAAGATAGGCAGGAGTTTGCGGAGGTAGATGGGAGCCATCTCTGGATCACCTTTAGGTTCAGCAAAGTCCATCTCTCCTTCAGGCTTAGTAGCCTCCTCAGGGCTGGAGACAGCAGCATCTGCTGTTGGAGTCACGGGGACCATCCATTCACCTTCAGCAAGAAAATAAATCATCTAATCACATCCCGCCAGTAATCTTTTGACAAGGGTGGTATTGAGGGTACAGTACTTTTTTTTCTCACCTTCAAGAACTTTCACCTGTAACAATTGTTTCCTTAACTCTTACACCTTTTACCATCTGATTATAATTAGATGACCTTGAGCTTACCTGGTGACTGGAGGATCTGCATGACCTCACGGTGACCTTCGTCGTTTCTTTCTCTTGCCTTGTCTAGTGGAGTTTTGCCATCTTCATCACGCAAATCAGGATTGGCACCATGCCTTAGAAGTGTCTAACACAAAGATGGATATAAAGAGAGAATTACAAATCTCTAGAACAGGGCTTGTAAGCTTGATAGATTTTATGTCACTGTACAAGCCTCTACAGATTTGTGAAAAATGAAAGTGAAAGTGGTTCACAGAATCAGACTGTTTACAAGAATTCCTAGCAAAATAATATTTCCTTTTGATTCCCGTACAACCTGTTCCATACACAGTTTGGAAATAACAGTATCTGTTCCATTTTGAAATGTGAATTCCTTCCACTGGCACATTCACATTTCACTGTCGGTAACCATAAGAATAACAGAAAGTTCACAGATTGTTTATTTAAAAAGACTACATCGGTTTCTTTGAGTGTGACCTTTGAAAAACAAATATTCCAATTTAAAGAAAATAAGTTGTTTCCTCATTTGAGCCATCAAATTCCCTTATTTAAGTCATCAGTTTCCTAATGAGCCTCTGATTTTATAACAAGTAGCCGTGTAAGTTTCGCATTTTGAATCACGGGTTCAAGGCACCTTTGCAACTTGGGGTCTGCCAAAGCAAGCAGCGTAGTGAAGTGATGATGACCTCTGACCTCGATTGACATCTGCTCCTCGTTCACACAAAAACTCGACCTATTTTAAGTTTGTATAAAAATGAAATAAATTTTTGCAAAGAAAATATTGAAGAAGTTATAAAGCATGTTCTAATGCACATGTTTCTATCAAGTTGCTGTTTTTCTCCAACATTCAATGTTTAGAAGTAAAAACTGTTGTAATTCTATATTTTCAGTTTCTAATGAGAAAGTTTACATGTACGTATAAAAAATGCTACATGGATTCAGGAAGATACCAAGCAGAATTATTATCAAGTCCTCTAAGTCTTGACTCAGCTGACAAGCTATTCAAACCAATTGTGTCAAAGCAATTATTTTTCACTGTTTGTCCTGTTACTCATGATC